ATTTTTTTTATATATTTTTTTTTTTTTTTTTTTTTTTTTTTTTCATAATCATTCAGATTTAAAAGTTGTAAAACTAAATTTTTATTTTTAAAATAATTAAAAAATGTAAAAATTGCAATGATTACATGAAAAAATAAACATTTAAACTAATAAAAATCAAATCCGAAATTTTCCATATATTATACTTGGTGGGAATTTATCATAAAGTATAGCGTTTTAGAAATTTAACACAATAAATAGCATTATATTATAGAGTATTTTTTATACTCAAATATTAAATTTATAATTGACACATCAATTATAAGATTGCATTAAAAATGCTCTAAAGGACAGAATTTTGAGCCCTCGTATTAGGGGCACTCTTATGACAAAACGGTAATATTAAACGAGCCTTTACTCCAAGTCTTGTTTTCTTTTCTTTAAAAATAAAAAAAGAGTAGTTTGAAAAGGGGTAACAAACCACCATAAAGTTTTTGTTTTTGTTCTTGTCTTTTCTTTTTAAGAATGTTTACCGCAAAATACGGGCAGAAGAAATTAAAGTGCATTGACCGGAGCTGTGTTTGAACAAGACTTCCGAGTGCACAACTTACCAACTAATTTTTTTCCATGCCAACGCCACATAGCTATCTATTGTTTTGTCTTTGCAATTGCATGGGAGTTTCTGTTTTGATGCAATCAACGAATTGAAAATAATAAGCTTGTCCTTGTATCTTTCCAATATAATAATAGGTGTGAATTGATATACAACAAAAATGAATAGATAGGTTTCACCTTGAAAAAATGAATATATATATATATATCTATATATCTGTGTGTGTGTGTGATAAAATAGGCGCTTAATCAGCTTCTTTTATAATTAGGTTACATATAGTAATCTCTCGTTCCCATCTTTGTCAAATTCACGATATTGTCAATACTTCCTAAGATCTTTTTGCACACAAGCGAGAAACATCTGCAGAATTTTCGTCTTTCTATCTAATTCTATATGTGCTTATGTATTCCAGGGAATTTCCTCTCTAGTTGCATAAAAATGCAAGGAAAAATACGTTATATTGTAATACGAAAGAAAAAGGGGCCGTAAGTTAGATGCCAATATTGTTTTTTTTTTTTTTTTTTTTTTTTTTTTTTTTTTTGGGGAAAAATCCCGTTTTTTTTTTAAAATGCCAGTATTAGTTTAATCCTTAAAATTTAACCCTTTTTTTTTTAATGATCGAACCTTAAAATTAAGGGTTATTTTTAAATATAACTCTTGAATTATAGTCTTGTTTCCATTTGACCCCTGACATTTCCTATTAAACTATCCAATCTATGCAAAAATTCATAGTATTGTTTCCATTTGATCCCTGACATTTACTATTAAACTATCCAATCTTTGCAAAAATTCAACAATTAGTTACTCTATTAGAATTAAATAAAAAATTTAATGAAAAGGTATAATCTAAATGTTTAAGTAGGGCTTTCTCTTGAAATAAGTTTTATAGGGGCATTTTCTGCGGTAAAAAGATTTAGATGGAAAAAGAGAACGAGAAAGACCTTTATTAATTTGTCCTTCATACACGGATAGCGCAAAACTCCATTGACTAAATAATTAAACATACTATCTAAGAACAAAACAACCAAACATAATTTTTGGTTTTATTATTTTTTTTTTCTAAATCAGCAACCAAACAGAATTAGAGGTGGAAAGGATGACAAGAAGAGGATTTTTTTTTTTATTCCGCGATTTGTAACTCTGTTTGTTAGTGCCTATTTGGTTTAATAAAATTGCATATTTTCCTTAAAAAAAAAAAAAAAAAGGTGAAGGCCTGAAGTTTGGTGAAGTCACCGGCTGAAAGCCCAAAAAAATTTTCAAGAAAGAAAAAAAAAAAGGAAAAAAAAAAAAAAGCATTTGTATTGACATCGTATTGGGGAAAACCAACCCGCAAAAAGGAAAAAAAAAAAAAAAAAAAAAAAAAAAAAAAAAAAAAAACAAATTAGCACTACTTGCTAGACGGTGAAATTTTGGAGTAGCACTTTGGAGCACTAAAGTTGTAGAACGTGAAGTGGGCAAATCCTGTAGAATGAACCTGATGTTGCGGAATGAAACTCAAAATTAATTAATTTTGATCGATAACAACTTTGGTGACTTGAGTAGATTTGTCATTTGTGGGTGAATTAGGGGAACATCACTTGTAGTAAATTATGGACCTGTTTAGTTCGTTGATTTAAATTTTTAATTTAAGTTGAGATGTGACTTTATGTGAGAATTTTTTACTATAGTAAAAAAATTAAATATGACTGTTTTTGAGAATTTTTTACTGTAATAAAACTCGAATTCTAAACCACTTTTACATAAAGTTTTGAGCCTAATTTACACATACAAGTGGCACATGTGAATAATTAAACTCATAATTGATACATAGCCTAATTTCTGATCAATGATTTTTTAGGGTTCACGATGAATTTGGGCAAATGAATGCATCTCGTGATATATGGCTGGGCGTTCAATTGGTTTTTAGGTTGACTTTATTTATTTATTTTGTAAGAAAATGGTCAAAAGAATGATTTTAAAGTCCTACACGTGATGGTCATTGTTCGCCAAAAACTCTATGCATAAAATGACTCCACGCAAGCGCACGCAATCGAACAAGTAATATAGTAATGAGTAAAGTATCGTCTCCACAGGGACTGAGTTAATGAGGAATTCTATTACAAAAACCAGTTTTATCAATATGATTGAGAATAGTTTGAATGCCAAATTGATATTAATTAAGTGAAAAGAATGTATAAGACCACAGACTGTAATTTAAATGCAGACAAGAGGTAAAAGTCAACAAGATCTGAGCTTAGAGCTGTGATTTAATGATGGATGAAGGCTAGGATTACTGATTTCCCCTCGGTTGCAACTCTGACCACGATTTGCTATACGATTGCTGTAGCAAAGTTCATCTAGTCAACCTAAAATTCTACATAATCATCTTCCGACAGATTTATGCTTGTAATTCCTTAAACTAAACCAACATATTCCTATGTGTTTTAGTTTACAAATCTGACGTTAACATCAATTTTAATGGGTTGTACAAGATAATAGTATATTCCTATACTATCTCTTACATTATCCAAGCTAGATCTAACTCAACCAACCTTTCCAGAATTAGCTTAAGTTTGTGTTTTCTTACTAAATGATGGCCTGTCACTTAATAGAAAGTAAACAATAAATCGCTTGAATAAACCATATGAAAATTACATTATCAATCAAGATAGCAAATAGATCTTCATTGCAACTTTGGTTCCATCAATAATCCTAGCTAAGGAATTTAGCTCATGTTTAGTTCAACAAAATCAGAATTAATAACAAATAACAGATCCATAAGGTCTCGGAAAGTAAATACAAAGAGAAGGAGAAAACAGCTAAGCTAGAATCTGAGGTCAAAAACCCCTGTGTATCCGTGCTGTACTCTTCTTTTCTCCAGCTCCAGCGTCCAAAATCTCCTGTACTCTCTTCTGTCTCCGTTTCCAGCTCATCCAGGAATTCTGTGTGCCTCCCTGATTTTCTCCTCTTCTCTCCCTGGTTGTACTATACTCTTCTTTTCCTTTATATACTAGGGCATGTTGAGGTGCCCTAGGGACAAGTGTATGCATGAGAGTCATGATTGATGGTCCCCCCTCCTGGTGCTCTTACAGCTGTCCCGTCAGTGCTTGGACCACTACCAGCGCTAAAAGACAAACTGCGCCAGCTTGCTAATTTTTGGCTGCTCTTGCTTTTGTTGCGACTTTGCTGCAGCAATGCTATGGGATTGGGGGCATTTCAACATTTGTGTTTTCCATCGTGCTTTTCTCACCAAAAGCCTACGTCAGCACCTCCTGTGGACATCATGCACTAAGTTCCTAGGGTCAATGCAATGAGTTGAATTGAGGAATAACTTCAAAATATAGCAAGATTTCCGATAAATAACAACTTTCTGCCACACGGAAAAAGATTAATAAATGCTATTCAAAATACTAACACAAAGGCATTTTACCCGGAGAATATAAACAAATATTAAGCCTAAAAGTATGCTAAATAACTCTATTTCTGTGAGTTATCAGTCATGTGACACATTTCACTCATTATGAATGGAACTTTGATGAAGGGATTAATTGTGAGATTTTTGTAAAGTTTAAGGTATTGTACTATCTAAAAGAAAATATTAGGGGTGAAACTGAAACTAAAGTTATAATTAAAATAAGAAACCTACATACCGGTATGTTATGTTTTTTATTCGTTAAATCTGTATAAAATCACGTAAAAGTCAAAAAATATGCAGATTCAACAGTTAAAAAAACCTGACATACCGGTACTTCATACGTACCAGAGAATTTTTCTTTAAACAAAATCCAAAAAAAAAAAAACACCCACCAAGACTTATTTCTAAAAACCTTGTAATGTAATAAAATTAAGTTCTATGCCTCGATAATATTTGAGTCTTTTTTAATTCTCTTCTGTAGAGATTTCATAGGCGTTGTCATTAATTCAAATTGACTAAATTTAATACGAAAACTAAAACTTCATTTACGGGCAATTTTGCTACTCAAATATTAATGCGCTTTCTTTTTTCTGCTAAGATATAGATACACTAATTTGGGTATGCTTTAAAATTTGTTTTCTAGTGTGAGATATATTGGTTCTTGGTTGTTGCACTTTTTCTCAAACGCTTCTCTCTGTGTTTCTTGGAAATTGATTCACCGCGTAATGTAAAAGTGCAAAGCAGGAAATGACTAATTCAAACGTCAAAGTCCTTTAGGCTTCGAAACTCTATATATAAAGCTGAGCCAAAAAAAACTTGTAAGCACAAATCCAATTAAACTTGAAAAAAAAAAAAAAAAAAAAAAAATTTGTGTACTGAGATCCCTATATTCTATCAAAAGTTGTTAAACTTAATGCAGAGAATCAGAGTCACCAAACTCTTTCCTCATCTCTTAGCAAATTCTAAAAGCTTTACAACTTCTTCTTCTCTTATAATCCCTCCACTTCCAAAGAGGCCTTGTATTAGTCCATTTGCACCCTTTTCTTCGGGCTTTATTACAGGTATATGCTTGTTTTTTTTGTACTTTTTTATTTTCTGGGTTTTCATTTTTGGTCTTCTTTGGTGGCAATTCAGTGGAAATTGCCCATAACATTCTAGTCTTTGCATTGGAAATTGAGAATATCGCATCTAAATACATATTCCCTTAATAAAATTGACTCGTGTTTTCCATAAACGCAGCTTCCCTGTAAAATTTTAGGACATGTTCTTTTGTCTAAAAAACTCAAAAAAAGATAACTCGAGTTTCAACTTTATTTAAGTTTATATTTTTTTATGTTCTAATTTTATTTAAATTTACTCAATTTTATTTAAGTTACAACTTCAACTCAAGTTATAACTCAAATTCAACTCAAAAATTACACTCAAATTACACACTAAAAGAATAAGCACTTAATTTCATTCCTTTTTTTTCTTTTTTTTTTTTAAGTCTTTTGATTGAATTTTAAAGGTTAAAAAATTAATAAACACTTCGAATAATGCTAGGAACAGGGTGTGGTCCACTAACAAAAAGTGAGTTGGGGCCTGCTTTCTATAAATAGAAAAACTCATGTGCCTCCCAAGCATTTTTTTTCTTTTCCGTTTATTGAAATGAGCTTTTCATGACATATCTTTTCGGGTGTGAATCTCTTATAAATAGTACTTTATTATTTTATCTTTTTTTCGGTGCTTTACGTTTTTCTCCTTTCTTTCCTTTCTATTTCTATTGCTTTACTCTTTTTTTTTTTTTTTTTTTTTTTTTTTTTTTTTTTTTTTTTTATTTTGGCTATACTCTCCTTTCTTTTTCCTTCTTGTTCCTCGTTATTTTTTTCTCCATGTCAACTTTATTGCTCTCTCTTATAGATATATATTAAAACTTTAATCTCAACTTTCTTACCAAACCAAAAAACTATTAAATTTTGTTTTATTATAGAAATATACAGTTTTAACTACTTAATTGATAAATTACTCCTTAGTTAATAAACTGTTTATTTTTAGACAAAATCTAACACAATAATAAATGACATATCAGTGTCTTTCTATAAAAAAAATTAAAAAATCTGAAACAAAAAAAAAATTAAATTATGTCCCAGTCCATTTTTTTTTCTTTTTTAGATAATAGTTTTAGATTATCTCTTTATTTCATTTAATATTTTATACCACCCTAACATGTTATACTCTTGCTATAGTCTAAAAATAATGAATTTATTAATAGATGGATTGAAAATGTATATTTTATAAATCTCGTGATAGTCAAACATCTCAAAGTAAATGTCTATAGTCAAAATAAAACAAATTCACATATTTAGAGGTTATTTGTAAATAACCTTTTTCTTTTTAAATCTTTAAATAATTTTTCTTTTACATTTATTATTTTTATTCATAACATAATGTCTATTATAAAAACTTCAATTATAACTTATTTAAATGTTGACTAATCTGACTAACATTGAATTTGGTAAAATGAAATGGTTGAATAATTGAAAAATGAGATTATTCAGGAATACACATTGAATGCTAAGATTACGCATTTAATTTCTGTTATGAATTCCATTATTGAATTTTCCTTACTTGATCGAACAATTCAAAATTCAGTCATTTCAACTACATCAAGTGATCTTTCAAATTGGTCAAGACTCTCAAGTTTATGGCCGCTTCTCTATGGTACCGTTTGTTCTATACATATATGGTCTGATCGCTAACTCATATTATACTAGATCTAGTTGCACTTTATTATAATTGGGAGATAATTCCAATAAATTTGACTGGCCTATATAAAAAAAAGGAAGGCTAAGAAATTTCTTATTGGCCTATATAAAAAAAAAGGAAGGCTAATAAAGATTACTTACTATACAAAACTAAGCCAACTTGATGAAGACTCAAATGTTGAAAAAGACTTCTTAACAAATATATATATATATATATATATATATATATATATATTTCCCCCCCTTACTTTTCCAAATAGAATGCAACTCTTATCGGAAAAATCGTCATCATAAACTACGACTTTTATCTTTTGCCTTGGACAAGACTTAGAGGATGTTCTCTTCTCCTTTCTTTTGAATCTATTACCAGATCGAAGAAACAACTTTCGATTGTTGAACAAACCCAAGTCAGTTTCAATCTCAACTAGCTTATCATCTTCTGCAAAGGAAGCCATGGCTGAAAATGCAGCCCCTTTACTCAGCGCCGTTAATGACTTACATGGAGGAGTTCGCGTCGAAATGAAAGAACCCATTAATCCTCAGGAATTTGGTGTTCTTCTTAGAGCTTCAATGTCACAATGGAGAGCACAGGTAAATGGTATTTTAGTTTTCTTCTCATGTCAAGCTTTCTTTTTTTTTTTTTTTAAATAAATGGTTAATACTTGATGGCGATATATTATTACTTTAAATGTTGTAGGAGAAGAAAGGGATTTGGATCAAATTGCCTATTGAGCTTGCAAATCTTGTTGAAATTGCTGTTAAGGTGAATGGAGACTTTCTAAATGCCAACTGTGTTTGCTTTATGCTATTCAAAATTGTATTGCAAAAACATTAAATGGTGGTATTGGCTTGATTCCATTGTCTTAGTTAGTGGGGCTTCTTGTGTGTTACGTTTTTACAGGAAGGATTTAGGTACCACCATGCCGAATCGGATTACTTAATGTTAGTCCATTGGATTCCTGTAACTGCCGATACTCTTCCTGCAAATGCTTCTCATAGTGTTGGAATTGGTGCTTTTGTCATGAAGGACAACGGAGAGGTAATAGTGAATTTTAGAGCTTGTTTGGTAGAGGTGTTTGAACCCGGTTCAAATAGTGTTTTCTCTCACAATAATTTAAATTTTAGAAGTTCTGCTATAGTCTTTTCTTCTTAAAAAAATTTGAATGCTGGTTCAAACCAGACGGTTTGAACCTATGAACGAAATAGGCCTACTGACTACAAAGAAGTTTTGAAGGGTATGTTTGGTATATGGGTTCTTCATAGGTCAAAACCCATAATTTTAGTTTTGCTAAAGTGTTTTTTTCTCATAAAAAATTTGAATTTCAAAAGTCATAATCAAAACCACTGGTTTGAACCCTGGTTTGAAACGGGCCTTAAAACTTGGCTTAATGTTGATTCCAATATCAAATGCAGAGGTGATTCTTCTTTTGTAGTTCCAAGTTAATATATGGATTCTTAACCAAGAATTGACTTTGCTTATATGCTTACTGATAAGAATGAGACACATTAATCCTTTACTAACGATATTAATAAAATAAAGAAATTCAATCAAACACATTAGATATAAGATTCATAGTAGTTCACCTTCTATGGGAGAGCTACGTTTACTTTCATCTGCCTTAGAATTTTGCATGATTGAGGAAAATTACAAGAAAATACACACCTCAAGCCTCTCAAACTTTGTGTTTCTCTCTTATCCTAATTCGCAAAACTAGTGCCCCCTAATGTATGTGTGATTAGGGCAACGAAAATACATGTGTTAAAATCCCAATACACACGTAACTCTACTAAAATTTTGGCCCTGGGGCTCTGTCCCTGTGTGGTAACCTGCGTCATGACAATAATTAGGCTCCACACACTTTCGTTTTTCACCTGTCAAGCACTTGGCTTTACTGAAAAGGAATCCCTAGGACCAAAAAAAAAAAAAAAAATTATAATTTTGTGGTGGACTTGCTATGATGCCATAAAATAGTTGCCTAATGAAATTACGTTGTTTCTTTAGGTGCTTGTAGTTCAGGAGAAAACTGGCAGGTTCAAAGGTTTAGGTGTCTGGAAGTACCCAACTGGGGTCGTTAATGAAGTGAGTACATTAATAGCAATGTTTTTTTCAGAAAGTTCGAAGTTACATACTTATATTCTGATGATGGATTCAAAATTTTTGTTGATAGGGCGAAGATATTTGTACCGCTGCAATAAGAGAAGTGAAAGAAGAGACAGGAGTAAGTTTCAACATTGGAATTTCTGTTTTTATGTGAATATTGTGTTCAAATGCAGATGTGAATCTAAGACTCTCGTTTTTTGATTTTTTGTAGATTGACACAGAGTTTGTGGAAGTTTTAGCCTTTAGGTAAGGGACTTTCTTCAAATAATAACTCGATGATATATTTATGGATGTTTTTGTTGTGGCACTCCATGCAAAAGAGTAGTGATGCGTTTATAAATATATATGCACCTTATATCTTATTCAATATTTCAATGTTGCCCTGATTAATTTTTCTGTGGTGCTCTCTCTTATCTCTGTACAGGGAAAGCCACAAGTTATTGTTTACCAAATCAGATCTATTTTTCGTCTGCATGTTGAAACCTCGATCCTTTGACATTCAAATACAGGTTGTAGAGATTGAAGCAGCCAAGGTAAATTAGTGGAGAATGAATCCATCATATAATTGTATATATATACATATATATATATTAATTTTTTTTCATTTTGCTTTTTAATAAAATTGCATTAGCTACTTGTTTCTAAAACTGAGGCTGCATAATTTATTCTGATGTAATGGCTCGGTTCCTTGTTGCCTGCTTTTATTTTTTGCATCAAGTCTTATGTTTCGTTTTCCTTATTCTTTTATGAAGAAACCAAACTTACTAAACCAACCAAATACTTGCATCATAATTTTGGCATTTATATGATTCCAACTGGCAGTTGGAAGTTGGCAGTATTTTTGTTTCATGAGTCTGGCAATCACGATCCAGTCTTCAATACCTTCTTATGGTTCTTTTTCCCTGTAAAGTTATTCTTGCAACTTCGATGAAAGCCTTGTGAAAATTTTTCATTGGGGCCAAGTTCTTGAACACGAGATCTAGTTTTAAGATATGTACTGGTGGCTTTGATGGGCTGCCAAATTGAAACTAAATGACCTGAAATGTGTTCTTTACGTTACGATACCCTTTAAGGCGGAAAAACCATGGAATAGTTTTCGTTCTTTCCTATTTTAGGAGATGGACTAATCTCAAATGATGACTATTCCAAACTTGTTCCGCAATTGATTGCTGACTCCTCTCTCCCTTAATAATAATCATATAATTAATTAAAAACCAGGATAGTATGGCCCTATAGAAATTTGGTTTATTTGATAAGGTTTTTGTTTTTCATATTTTTTTCCAGTGGATGCCAGTGGAGGAGTATGAAGCCCAACCATTCATCCAAAATCATAAGCTCTTCAACTTAGTTGCCAAAATATGCAGAGCAAAGTCAGTCGCAGACTACACCGGCTTTTCCCCGTGGTCTACAACTACAGCTTCTGGAAAAACAACCTCTTTGTACTTCAACAACCAGTATATTGATCGCATACAGTCTTCTGGTGATCATCACTCAAAATGTTGATTTGTTCAACAAAACTTTTTCTCACACTCAAAGATAAAGCTCTTTTCTACTATACACATTCCTGTTTATTTATGTATTTTGAATATATGTAAAGAATAAATTGCATTGTTGCACACCAAAACGTTTCACATTGTGCATAAAACACCCCAAACTTTTAGTCTTGATAAATTGCACCTTGAACTTTAAAATCAATTGACATCCAATAGTTAACGAGCATTATTAAATTGATAGTATTTCATGTGTTAATCTCGTGTCTCAAACTGTCAATTTATTAACATTCATTAGCTATTGGACCCCAATTGCTATCAATTTTAAAGTTCAAGATACAATTTGTCAAAAGTAAAACTTTGAGGTGTATTTTGCCAAAATATTGAAAAGTTTAGGCTACAAAATTTACTCCATGTGTAATGTAGGAAAGAATGCTAAAGACCATTAAGTTCTGCTATTGTTTCAATGCATATGTTGACCAGTTTATTACAATTTTGGGAATTAGTGTTGTTTCCCAAAGCAGTTTGTTGCATTTGTTCACTGTAATTCAATTTGGTTTTTATATTTTGTAATCATACCATCCAAGCTCCACATGAATAAGATAAAGCTCGTGTTCCTTGTCAAACCCCAATTTCTGTGTATTTTTTTTTTCTTCAGCTACCTTTTTTTTTTCTTTTTAATTTGTATAATGTTTTGTTTAGTAGATGATAATACTTTTGTTGGTTCCTAATCTTCAGAATGGAGTGTTTGTTTACTTAAGCTTATGATGCTAGAACTTTGTTATCAATCGCTCTGCGACAGGTTTAAGGTGTTGTTAGATGTTACTCTCTCTTTAACAAGAAAAAAGATAATGATATTAAAATTCATCTTCTCCTTTTGTGCGGAATCTATAAAATAAAAATTACGAGCTTCAGAGAATTTTCAAAGTTTGAGAACTAAAAAGTGAAAACGAGATATGTTCTTATTTCCTTGTACCTAATTATTATTTGATTTACATTTTTGGATGAAATCTAACATATAGTTTCCCATGCTTTTTTTTTTTTTTTTCTGCTTTGAAATGTTAATATAGATTTCGTCTACTTCAATATTTTGATCGTTATGTTTTTCAAGAAGCAAAATCTGAAATTATAATATTTTTTATTTTGTAAGAAACAAATAAAAGAGTTATATTTATGAACGATCCCAATGGTGGTGGTAAAGAAAGTTTCATATTTTGTCAGAACTACGATCATTTTGGAAGTGTTCTGGTCTTCTCAAAATCGTTATGCTACTTTCCTGTTTAAACTCATTGAGCAGCTTAGTCGACACGGTTTAGAGTGTAGACGCAGCGCTCATCAATCTGGGGAAGGGCTAGCTTTGGAGGCCACGGTCTCCGCCTACGAATGGGACGATCAATATCAATGTTGACGCTGCTTATAAGGCTGGTAATGCTGGCCTTGGATGTGTCATTCCTGATGATTCTGGTCAAGTTCTTTGTGTTATAACTTAAGTTTGTTCAGCCGCATCTGCACTAAAAGCTGAGTCGTTGGCGATCGATTTAGCTTTACAATGTGTTGTTACTCAAGAGTGGAATGATTTTTTGGTGGGATTTGATGCTAAGATAGCTGCTGAAGCTTTTATCTCAGCTATGCCACCTGACTCCTGGATTACTCTTCCAGTTTTTTACTCTGTTTCGTGCTCTTCTCTATCTCTTGAGTCGTCTGTTCTAACCTCGGTGCGTAGGTCTCGTAGGGAAGCTGCTCATGCAGCGGCTCGCTGGGCTAGCTACTTCAATGTAGGCGAATTTGCCACCCCATGTGGCAACTATAATTTTCAATGATAAATAATAAGAGAGAAATATTAGCGTCATTCTTTCTGTCACTCTCTCTTATTACTTTTTACATTCACTGCATGATACGTAAACTCCACTTTTTTAAATAAGATGTGTAATATGACCATAACTGCCACTTATGAAGCTTGGGTGTTGTCATCCAGAATGGCTCTGTGAGACCAAAAAACGGTGTGATAAGAATGTCGTTACACTGGAAAGAAGTGGTAAGCCATATGACCTTAACAATAACTATATAAGGAGGCATTTTATGAGTGATCCTCATTGAATCAAGTTGTTTACATATATAATTTTGTAGCAAAATCTGCGGAGAACAATTCTATTAAGATGTTTACATTATAGTTATAAAAAAAAAAAAAATTGTCTCAAATATCTATTTTGATTATTTTATGAGTCCACAACAATTTAAAATTTGTATGTACTAAACACTTAAAACACAATTTTTAAAAATTACTGTACATTTAAAAACATAGTTTATTGAATACTCAGCGGTTTTATGTTAGTTGATTTTTACTTAGTACAACAATAATTTTAAAGCTACGACATTATTTAATTGACCCTTTACTTAACGCTAGAACCCCAGAAATTGGCACAATGGGTCTTCGTAAAAATTGGCGGAGCTTAATAATTTGTCAAAAGCTATGACCCTGATATTGATAAGAAAAATGTCTCTGCTCTTCGTGTTTGAAGTGGGAGGGGTTTAAAGTTGCGAAAACAAAATCATATTGGATCATGCTCTCTTTTTCCATCCACTAGGCTTTTTCCTCATGGTTTTTCTGGCAGAGGGTTTTAATGAAGTATCTCTTAATTGTGGACAGTGTGTGTGTGTGTATATATATATATGTGTTGTTTCTTATTGTCTTTTTATTTTCTTAGCCCTGGTTGCTGGATTACGAGCTTCTTAGATATAGATGTTTTAGGGTCCGTTTAATTCGTTGATTCGAGTTTTTAATTTGAGTTGATATGTGATTTTCTCTGAGAATTTTTTACTGTAGTAAAAAAAGTTAAATATGACTGTTTCTGAAAGTTTTTTACTATAATAAAACTCAAATTTTAAACTCAAATTAATAAAATATACAGAAGATTAAGATGTGTTAAGTTTCTCCCATGTGAATTACCCTATAATCTCCAAGCTGCTCCAAAAAGTTAGAATAATTTTTTCCTACCACGTGGCTAAGCTGGGCTGCCATTGACAGCTAGACCTTGTAAATATCAACACTCGAAATATACCACTCAAGATGATAAATAAATTATTTATGTCATTTTATTTAAAAAAATAAATATTATTTAATTAATAAAAAGACAACAAGAGACCACTATAACATCTAAATATTTAAAATGGCATAAACAATAAATTTATACAAAATCATGGCAAACCATGTCTAAAGCTAATTTGAATTCAAAGTTGATATAATCTAAAAAGTTTAATTGGTATGAAAAAACAATTAATAACCGTTAACAATTGAAAGAAAATTAGAATCTCTCTTTTTATTTATGGTTAATTCCACGAAGAGGAGCAAATAAAGTAATTGTTCATTAAATTTTTAAACCTCATTTTTTTTTTCCTATTACACATGTTATTTCTATAAAAAAAAAAAATAGAATAACTTTATTTGATAATATTTCATATGAGGTGAACAAATATTACATTTTGAAGAGTGTGGTGTACATTGTTATAAGGGTTATAATTGAAGGGAAATTTTTGTAATTAAAAAAAAAAAAAAAAAAAAGTCGTTGTAACTTGTAAGTATCATCTAGGCAGTAGTAAGCTTGAACGATGGTCTGAATCTTGCTATATATGTTCTAGAATTAATTTATGATGTATTTCAACAAAAGCGTATCATGCCAATGGTTTTATTTGGACGGGCATCATAGCATACGTTTGCTTGCGCAAATCAAGTTTTTTAGATTAAAAAACGAGTCACCTAATACATCAGTACCATATTAAATTGTTTTATTTAGAAGAAAGTATGGAGCTAAGGGAGGTAGAGACTGATTTGGGTGATATTAAAACTTACAAGAAAGATAATACAATCTATTCTCGTTGAAACTTGTACTTTTGGATAATCACGGAGGCACATCCCAAGCCCTTATGACTTTTTTTTTTTTTTAATTTAATTTTTTTTAGCTAGGTTTGCCTTTATGAATCTTTTGATATAGTGTTAAATATTATATGGTACATAAGTGGTACTGATAGCATGGTAATGCATAGTTTGATGTAACAAATAGGGAGATAAATTTACACTTTTGTTTTGTTAAGAAAAAAAAAAATTATTGGTGTCTTCACTCCCACCCAGGCTATATTGAGGAGTAAAATTGGACCACCAATGATGATAAGGCTTATGATCTTGGGCATTTAACCATTATTAACCCAAAGTTCAAAGTCCGGTAGTTTTTTAGGGCCGTTTGATTCACGTATTTAAGTCAGTACTTTTAATTTATTAACGATAATTTTGTGAGAGAATCAGTGAGAAATTTTTTAATTCAAATTTTTTATAAGAAGAAAACAGTATAACAGAATTAGAATCATAGATTCAAATATATTTACCAAACGGACCCTTAATCAAATAATAAATCCTAATGTGTGGAATGACTCGAATTTGCGTTATCTTGACAAATACCCCATGAAAATGTATAAATCGAGATTTTTACTATTTACTCTTGATTCATAATATTTTTAGTTAAATAATTATACTAATAAAATGAATATTTATCAAGAGTAAGAAATAAAAATCCAGACTCACGTACATACAAGATAAATTGTCTATTTTTCCTCCAACTTTGTACTAAAGGCTCTAAATAGGACGTCTTTAACATCATGCCACCATCATTGGTGGTAAATTTTCCACTTCTACTTACCTAATAGATTGTAAGATCTTTGCTCAAAAAATAAAATAATTTTGTTTTTAAATATGATTTATGTATTGATGACACAATTTTGAGTTGTTAGTCACAACAAAATTAATTTCAAATTAAAAAAAATGACAATTGAAAGAGACTTTATAAAATATGAGTTAAAAACTATGTCCTACCCGTACGATATTTCTTCATATTATAAAATTCTTCTATTATAAATAACTAAGAAATGCCTATATAAGTAGAGGAGTTGGAAAGCTAGCTGAGTCAGTTCTCAGAAGTGAGAATTAAAAGCTGTTGCATTAGCTGCGCACAGCCATGGCTCTGGTTCAAGGCAAATGGGTCAAGGTTCGTAACTCATCTTATTTTTTTTCTTTACTTGCTCAAATTCTTCTTGTCAGATTCTAATTCATATTTAGCTTTTTTTCTAGTTTCTTCTCTTTTACAATTTCATATTCTACTTGTGCACTTATTAGTTTCTTGCAATATTTCTAATACTCGGCATTAGATTTAGTGTTCTCATCAATATGCACTTAAAATTTTCTGTTTTGAGTAATAAGAGAGTTTTGAAAATTGATTGAAGCTTTCCTTCTTTCGCTTGCTCTTTTCATTTCTGTGAAAAGATGTCTCTTTTGATGGCGATGTTCTTGATCTGTTAGAAAGTGTTTGTTATGAGGATTCATATTATAGTTTGAATCATGATTCGTGACTCGTTACAGTATTTTTTTCTCATAAAAAATACATATAAACTGAAAATGATTCTAAATTATAATTCTGAATTCATGAACCAAACGTTTATTGTTATTTATCTATTTTAATGGAAGGCTGTTATTGATATTATTGTTTCCTAGAAAAAGGAAAATAAAAGCAGAAAATATCATGTAATTTGTTGTATATATAAAAAAAAAGAAGAAGAAAAAACCTGTTCCCGCATATTCTATTCCCAATTTCCCAGCAAACGAATGGTTTTTTTTTTTTTTTGTTCGTTTAAAATACAAAAAAAAGGAAGGAAAACAAGTTGTGCTTTGATAAGTCACTGCAGCCCATTATCATGCCTTATAAATGGAGGCACCTGAATACATACAAGCAAAAAAATAAAACTAAAATAAAATAAAATAACAATAATAATAATAATAATAACAAACGAATAAAGCACCTGAATACGTCCGTTTTAATTAGATTGGATAGTTAGAGAAACTTAGATTTAGGGTTCATTTACTCCGTTGATTTGAATTTTTAATTCGAGTTGAGATGTGAATTTTTATAAATTTTTTATTATAGTAAAAAAGTTAGATATAACTGTTTCTGAGAGTTTTTTATTATAACAAAACTTAAATTTTAAATTTGAATCAGTAAAATGAACGAGATCTAAAAAGAGAACAGAAAGAGACAAAATGGATAAAGATGTCTGTTTATTTGTTTTGTTTTGTTGCGCTTTACCTGTAAGTTGCGGTGACATCTGACTCAGTACACTGTTTTATTGTAATTGGTTTACAATCCTTTAAATGAAGTTTTAACTTATCATATTTGCATGTTTTAGGTGTACTAGCTTATTGATGTTTTGTTCACCAAAAAAAAAAAACTGTTTTTTCTTTCTTTTTGTTTGAAAAAGAAAGAAAAAATAGTTTTTTTTTTTTTGGGGGTGATAAGCAATGTAGTTATGTAGAATTATATCCAACTAAAAAAAAAAGACAGTGTAATTTTTTCTTTCTTTTTGTTTGAAAAAGAAAGAAAAAATAGTTTTTTTTTTTTTTTTTTTTTGGGGTGATAAGCAATGTAGTTATGTAGAATTATATCCAACTAAAAAAAAAAAAGACAGTGTACATGGATTTCTATTCCGATATAACCTATGAATTGCAAAGCCATCTTAACACCAAGTTTTTTACTATTTTTTTTTTTTTGTTGGGTGGAAATCTTAATCAGCTTAATCAAAAAGGAACTGGGCCTGGAGCAAGAAGCTCACATGCCGTTGCCATAGTAGGACAAAAGGCCTATGTTTTTGGTGGTGAATTCTCGCCACGTGTCCCAGTGGACAACAAACTCCACTTGTTCGACCTCAAAGAGACCACGTGGGCCGTCGCCGATGCAACCGGAGATATTCCTCCGCCACGGGTTGGTGTTACTATGGCAGCCGTTGGATCAACTATTTATGTTTTCGGGGGTAGGGATAGCGAACACAACGAGCTAAACGAGTTATACTCGTTCGACACGTGTACGAACAAGTGGACCCTACTGTCTAGCGGGCCAACCGGGCCCGCTCATCGGAGCTACCACTCAACAACAGCGGATGATCGCCACGTGTACATCTTTGGCGGCTGTGGGGTCGCGGGACGGCTCAATGATCTATGGGCCTACGATGTTGCGGATCAAAAGTGGATCAAATACCCATTTCCGGGAGAAAACTGCAAGGGAAGAGGTGGGCCTGGGCTGGTAGTGGCCCAAGGGGAGATATGGGTCGTGTATGGCTTTGCGGGACATGAAGTGGATGACGTACACTGCTTCGATCCAGCCCAACAAAAGTGGGCTGAAGTTGAGACAACCGGGGAGAAGCCCACGGCTCGGAGCGTATTTTCTACGGCTGGTATCGGAAAATTCGTATTTATATACGGTGGGGAAGTAGACCCAAGTGACATGGGCCATATGGGTGCAGGAAAATTTGCTCAAGAAGTGTACGCATTGGACACTGAAACTCTTGAATGGAGGCGATTGGAAGATGGGCCTGACTCGGGCCTTCATCCTGGGCCTCGTGGATGGTGCGCGTTTTCTAGTGGGCTTTTGGATGGCAAAGAAGGCCTCTTGGTGTACGGGGGCAATTCTCCTAGTAATGATAGGCTTGATGATATTTTCTTCTTTACTCCTAACTTCGATGGTAAATGATCATATATGTATGTGTGTTATTTAAGTGCTAGTTTGTTTGTTTGTTTTTTTTTTTTTTTGACAAGTCGTAATGAACTTTATTGTATCTTGTATTGTTAAGATATTGCTGGGTTATGTAGAGACTTGTGACTTTGTGCATTCGGAATATGAATATGTATTCTAATTCGTTGAATGATTGTTAAGACAAATTGGCGTTTTTCAATTAAATGAACGAGTAGCTTCATGATCTTATGGGACAAAATTCAAGGAAAACTTCAAAACTGCCCTTTTACAATAGTGATAAAACGCCATAACTTCTTCCATAGAGAGGGCCGATTAACCTGTTAGAGAAGAGTACATACTTTGCCATGGTTTTATGTAAACTTAGCATTTATGTCATTCTAAATAATTGAATGTTAATTTAATATTTTATTTTTTCTTTTTAGTTGAACAAGTATTTATTTTTAAATAAAATAATATAAATAATATTTTTTTATCATTTTAAGTGGTATTTCTATTCTTTTTTCGCTTCGAAAAAAGTTAGAACTAAAAGCCCCACTCAACTATATATATATATATATATATATATATATTTTTTTTTTTTTTTCTATAAGCATATATAACTTATAGGTAAGGTCTCTGGTCAGACACTTAAAAGTGTCTGACTGAAACAACAGTTGTATAATTATGCATAAATCATGTATATTTACATGTAAATTGTGTATATTTACGTGTAAAATCGTGTATGTTAAGTTATAAGAAATGACAATGTATATTAATTCTCAAAACATGTATTTTTTATAGCAATTAGTGAACACATAGCATGAAAATATGTATATTGGCTAATTTTTTATATTTCATGTTAAATATACACGATTTACATATAAATATACACAATTTATGCAGAATTATACAACTGCCGTTCTGGTCAAACACTTCTCAAGTGCCTAATCAGAGACAATTGAGCTTTTAACTGTAACAGAAAAAGTTAAATGTGACATTTTTTGATAACTTTTAACTGTAAAAATTTAAAACTGAAAACTCAAATCGATAAAATGAACGAAGTCTACGTGTTAATTTAATATTTTTTTAATTTATTAGTTAAACAAGTATTTATTTTTAAATAAAATAATATATATAATATTATTTTATCATCTTAAGTGATGTTTCTATTCTTTTTCCGATTAGAAAAAAGTTAAGAGCTAAAGCCCCACTCAACTATATATATATATATATATTCTATAAGCATACATAAATTATATTGTATTATATACACACACACACACACACACGTATATAATGACTTTAGGATTCATTTACTTCGTTGATTTGAGTTTTTAATTTGAGTTAAGATATAATTTTATATGAAAATTTTTTACTGTAGTAAAAAAATTAAATGTGATTATTTTTAAAAATTTTTTACACTAATAAAACTCAAATTCTAAATTCAAATTAATAAAATGAATGAAACCTTAACGGTCATCGGACCAATTAGATAAAAAATTCAGATCTACTGTCTCAAATAGGCTGTCTCTTTAGCTCCTCAATAAAATATAGACACGTCATTATAAACTACACATCAGCTCTTCCCAAAAACAATATACACGGCGTTAAACCAACGGAAACAAAAAGGTGAATAGCATTTCCTTTTTTTTTACCCAGAAGGGATTCAAGAGATATAAAATTGACCCCTTCAAAAAATAAAAAATAAAAAAATTGATCGGTTTAACTCTGTAAGCAACAGAACTTTTTTTTTCATAGCAAAAAGGAAAAAATAAATTTAACTCGTTTTTTCTTTGAGAAAAAAAAAAAAAGAGAGGCCTGATCTCTTTTTGTTTTTTTAAATTAATTTGTAAAATCGTTCTCATCTTTTCTTTTTTTACAAAAATTAAAAGATATTAGGTCTAATTTAACTTAATAAGACTAATTTATTAAGAGAGAATTATCATCACCTTATTAAATAAATCATATTACCTCACACACAACGTTAATCATATTAAATCGCTGTAAATAAGTAGGAACTTAACATTATAAAACTCGGCATT